CCCGGTTCGCGTTCTACAAACCTCTCACACGCCCGCCAGTCTTCCCTTTTCTTGGCCGCGCTCCAAAGCCATCCATCTAGACCCACAGCCGTGGCTCCGCCGCTTCCAGCTCCGTTCAGGTCCAGCTTGAGCACATGTGCACGGGAAGCGAAGGCATCGAGTGCTGTGATGCTGGCTGCACGGAGGCTTGCGACTTGGGAGGGAGTAAGGGTTGGTCCTGGCTTCGGCGCAAGGGAAGACTCCTCTTCCGCCCTCCCTCGGTCGTCCGATGCAGGCAATTCCAGCAGTGTCGCCGAGTCGATCTCTCCGAAAGCAGTTCTCAACCTTGCGTCCCTCGCCTCAGAAAGCGAGATCACGCCCAGGTGAACGAGCATCGACGGCAAGACGTTGTCTACAAACGCAGGAAGCTCTTCCGTCCGTGGAAGAGGGATGGGGCTAGGTGAGAGGCGCGAGAAGCGGAGGCTGAGAGTATGGAGGAGAAAGAGCGCTTTCTTGAAGAGGTATACAGCTAGAAGGCGAGTTGAGTATGCTAGAAACGGAAATCCCTGGGTGCGTACGTTGGCTATCGACAACAGTCATGTCCCGGAACGCGGGGAACGCATGCACGAGCTGCTCATGATCAGTACTCGTGCCACACTAGTACTGTGAAGACCCATCTTACTCGTTCAATAACGACACTCGCTTCAGGTTCGTTACCGTTCATCCTTCCTACTCGCTCCGCCTCCTTCAGCGCTTCCAACACGAAACTTCCCAGGTCCGTGTATCCTTGTTCTAGCAGGATACCCCCGGTCTCGTTCAACACGTCCACCACGCGCTTCACGAACTCGTACATTGGTCCGCGCAGTTCTCCGACCATCACCGCCGGTAAGCTAGGGTGTGGACGCTCTTCGTATATGTTCACCCGGAGCAGCTCCGCCACTTTCTCCTTCCCAACACCTTGCATTCCTCGTGCGGAAAGGAGGGAGGGGGACGTGTCGTCCAGGTATAAAGAGAGGACAAGTGCACGGACGTTGTCCCATGCACCTCGACCGGTGGCTTTGTGCAATGGGACGCGGAAGGAAGAACCAAAGTTGAGCAAGGCTAACATGGACTGCAGGTTGACCTCTGCTGCTACGGAGGGGAAGACCAATGGGAGGGATGTTCCATGTTGTTTGCTTAGGGAGACATAGGTGGAACCAAGGTATTCTGACGAGAGGTGGTGGTCCAACGCAGCCTGCTGCGGCTGCGAGCAGGGACAGTGTCTGAGCGGGACTGAGAGGACAGTGCTAATGGAGGATGCTCACGAGCAACCCTGCATGCTCTGCACACCTCCTGCAGCTTTTCCGTATTGCAACGATATGGTCTCCTCTGGGGAACGGACATTGTTGTTCGTCGCTCATTTCCAGGTCAACTTCACTTGTAGTCTTGACAACAAATATCCAAGTCTCAAGAGATGACGCGCCCAACGCGTGGTACGGACATCCGAAAAGGGCAATACTTGAATAATTGAGAAGGGAGCATCGCCACAAGATGTAAAAGAAAGCTAATCGTGGGAAGTTGTCAGACCTGCCTGAATGATTGCCCAGGATGAGGTTTCCCACTCGCGCAAGACGCAGACCGGATCAATGCCACTCAACAATCTGTGCTTCACCTGCATTCATTGTACGCAAGAATCACGTTTCTATGTAGCAGTGTGATGGCTCCCGGCACAGGAAGAATAAGCTCTGACAGGCATAAAGAGTGTGTAAGGTTATGGTACACAAAATCAAATGAGCGACGATCCGCATGCTCGCCGTGTTCAACACGAATGAGTTCTTTCAGCATCCCCTTGGTCCAAGCAGCAAGCCTCTACCTCTCAGCGTCCCGCTGCTCTGCCTTCCTAGACGTCTCCCCACGTTTCGACATACTCCTGCTGCGCTAAGTGTTGGAGTGGCTCTCCCAGCCAGGCGTGATTCTCGGTGTCGACTACCGCCCCATGCCTTGTTACAGTAAACGTTCGAAACAGGCGATTGTTCGGAATCCGTTCGTGAGCGAAGAGTGGCACCGTCGACATTTTCACGTCGTATTTCTTCTTCGGTTTGGGCTTGCCATCGGGTTGGGGTTCCGAGACCGTGATAGCGCCGTCGAGCTCCGGTTCCAGGACAGTCTCATCGAACATCTGAGCGCTCTAGTACATCTAGTTAGAGCTGCTCACAGCCATTGACAGCGACCAACCGTTTGACACCACTCGAAATCTTTTACATGAACCTTGATTTCCTCCATTTGTGCATGCTCAAAGCAACGGTGGACGAACTACAAAAGGGCACAAGTTTATCAGTGTCAATATCGTTCCTTCAGGTGATGAAACTCTCCAGTACCTTGGAATTGCTCGCACAACCCCGCATAACCACCTCAGCGGTAGGCTTTTCATCATGGAGGATGACACCGATAGATTGAAGTGCCGCACAGGTTAGAGGACAAATGGTTCCTAGATGTTCCAAAAACCCGAGTGAGATTTGACAGACCGCTCCAGTTTG